AGGAAGGCGAAAAACCTCCAGGGCCTTCCAATCTGCCCTGGAGGAAAATTCCTTCCCGACCCCAAATATGGCGATCAGCTAAACCCTGAGCATATGGGCAAGATTCATCAGCCAGATACTACAGAAAATTCTTTCCCGGGTAACTTGGATCTTACCCCATCTAAAAACCCATCACAGGCCATTGGGCCTATTTACCATGAATATTTAATTACCAAAACCATGTTATCCCATCATACCATCTCCTCCATAAACTTATCGAGTTTAATCTTAAAGCAAGATAGATCTTTTGCCCCCACTACTTCCCTCGGAAGGCTATTCCAAAACTTCACTCCTCTGATGGTTAGAAACCTTCGTCTAATTTCTAATCTAAATTTCCTAGTGGCCAGTTTATATCCATTTGTTCTTGTGTCCACATTGGTACTGAGTTTAAATAATTCCTCTCCCTCTCTGGTATTTATCCCTCTGATATATTTATAGAGAGCAATCATATCTCCCCTCAACCTTCTTTTAGTTAGGCTAAACAAGCCAAGCTCCCTGAGTCTCCTTTCATAAGACAAGTTTTCCATTCCTCGGATCATCCTAGTAGCCCTTCTCTGTACCTGTTCCAGTTTGAATTCATCCTTCTTAAACATGGGAGACCAGAACTGCACACAGTATTCCAGGTGAGGTCTCACCAGTGCCTTATATAATGGTACTAAAACCTCCTTATCCCTACTGGAAATACCTCTCCTGATGCATCCCAAGATGACATTAGCTTTTTTCACAGCCATATCACATTGGCAGCTCATAGTCATCCTATGATCAACCAATACTCCAAGGTCCTTTTCCTCCTCCGTTACTTCTAGTTGATGCGTCCCTAGCTTATAACTAAAATTCTTGTTATTAATCCCTAAATGCATGACCTTACACTTCTCACTATTAAATTTCATCCTATTCCTATTACTCCAGTTTACAAGGTCATCCAGATCCTCCTGTAGGGTATCCCTGTCCTTCTCTAAATTAGCAATACCTCCCAGCTTTGTATCATCTGCAAACTTTATTAGCACATTCCCACTTTTTGTGCCCAGGTCAGTAATAAAAAGATTAAATAAGATTGGTCCCAAAACTGATCCTTGAGGAACTCCACTGGTAACCTCCCTCCAACTTGACAGTTCACCTTTCAGTAGGACCCGTTGTAGTCTCCCCTTTAACCAATTCCCTATCCACCTTTCAATTTTCCTATTGATGCCCATCTTATCCAATTTAACTAATAATTCCCCATGTGGCACAGTATCAAATGCCTTACTAAAATCTAAGTAAATTAGATCCACTGCGTTTCCTTTATCTAAAAAATCTGTTACTCTCTCAAAGAAGGAGATCAGGTTGGTTTGGCACGATCTACCTTTTGTAAAACCATGTTGTATTTTGTCCCATTTACCATTGACTTCAATGTCCTTAACTATCTTCTCCTTCAAAATTTTTTCCAAGACCTTGCATACTACAGATGTCAAACTAACAGGCCTATAATTACTTGGATCACTTTTTTTCCCTTTCTTAAAAATAGGAACTATGTTAGCAATTCTCCAATCATACGGTACAACCCCTGAGTTTACAGATTCATTAAAAATTCTTGCTAATGGGCTTGCAATTTCTTGTGCCAATTCTTTTAATATTCTTGGATGAAGATTATCTGGGCCCCCCGATTTAGTCCCATTAAGCTGTTTGAGTTTCGCTTCTACCTCAGATATGGTGATGTCTACCTCCATATCCTCATTCCCATTTATCATGCTACCATTATCCCTAAGATCCTCTTTAGTCTTATTAAAGACTGAGGCAAAGTATTTGTTTAGATATTGGGCCATGCCTAGATTATCCTTGACCTCCACTCCATCCTCAGTTTTTAGCGGTCCCACTTTTTCTTTCTTTGTTTTCTTCCTATTTATATGACTATAGAACCTTTTACTATTGGTTTTAATTCCCTTTGCAAGGTCCAACTCTACTTGACTTTTAGCCTGTCTCACTTTATCCCTACATATTCTGACCTCAATAAGGTAGCTTTCCTTACTGATCCCTCCCTAATGATTAGGGCCTGTCTCTAAAAAGTGCATTAAATGATATTCTGTGTAAACAAAGGAAAAAACATTTAATATTTTGTTGTATATTATTTCCTGGTGCATTGTGTTAATTGGACTTTCCTATATATTACAGGCTTGATGCAGGATCTGTATTATACAGTTGTATAAAAGGGTATGTGCAAATCCTGCCAGCCCTTCAACAGTCATACTATCTGTCACCTGTACAAGAATGATGAGGTAAAATAAGAACTAAATACAATATATTTTATTTTACAGTAACAGTGTAATAAAACCATGCTCACAGGACTGTAAAGCAGAAAGTAGGAGATATCTAGCACTAAAAAATGGCAAAAGAAAAAAAAACAATAAAATATAGGATTGATTGTGGTCATTCTGCCTTCCAACATATCTGTGGACCAGCTCAAACATTCCCTTTTACTTCCTGTGTTATATTCTTCCAACCATGTATTTTTTCGTAACATTGTTGAATGATGGTTTTGTTATATTCATAGAGGGCCAGATTGCTCTCTCCCTGTGAGGAAAACTCTGTGACACGCTGTCATAAATATAAAGGGAAGGGTAACCACCTTTCTGTATACAGAACTATAAAATCCCTCCTGGCCAGAGGAAAAACCCTTTCACCTGTAAAGGGTTAAGAATATAGGATAACCTCGCTGGCACCTTACCAAAATGACCAATGAGGAGACAAGTTACTTTCAAAGCTGTGGGGTAGGGGTGGGGGGACAAGGGTCTGTCTGTCTGTGTGATGCTTTTGCCAGGACCAGGTCAGGAACTGGACAGGTCAGCTCTTCAGAACTCCTGTAAAAAGTTAGTAAGCAATCTAGCTAGAAATGCGTTAGATTTCCTTTTGTTAAATGGCTGGTAAAATAGGTTGTGCTGGATGAAATGTATATTCCTGTTTTTGTGTCTTTTGTGTTCACTTATGCAAATTGGTCAAGGTTCCTACCCCACTCTGAACTCTAGGGTACAGATGTGGGGACCTGCATGAAAGATCCCATAAGCTTATTCTTACCAACTTAGGTTAAAAAGTTCCTCAAGGTACAAACTTTGCCTTGTCCTTGAATCCTATGCTGCCACCACCAAGCGTGTTAAACAAAGAACAGGGAAAGACCCCACTTAGAGATGTCTTCCCCCCAAAATAGCCCCCCAAGCCCTACATCCCATTTCCTGGGGAAGGCTTGATAAAAATCGTCACCAATTTGTATAGGTGAACACAGACCCAAACCCTTGGATCTTAAGAACAATGAAAAAGCAATCAGGATCTTAAAAGAAGAATTTTAATTAAAGAAAAAGTAAAAGAATCACCTCTGTAAAATCAGGATGGTAAATACCTTACAGGGTAATCAGATTCAAAACATAGAGAATCCCTCTAGGCAAAACCTTAAGTTACAAAAAGACACAAAAACAGGAATATACATTCCATCCAGCACAACCTATTTTACCAGCCATTTAACAAAAGGAAATCTAACGCATTTCTAGCTAGATTGCTTACTAACTTTTTACAGGAGTTCTGAAGAGCATTCCTGACCTGGTCCCGACAAAAGCATCACACAGACAGACAGACCCTTTGCTTCTCCCCCCGCCCCCCCCCGCCAACCCAGCTTTAAAAGGAACTTGTCTCCTCATTGGTCATTTTGGTCAGGTGCCAGCGAGATTATCTTAGCTTCTTAACCTTTTACAGGTGAAAGGGTTTTGCCTCTGGCCAGGAGGGATTTTATAGTTCCTGTATAGTTTTATATTTCTGTATACAGAAAGGTGGTTACCCTTCCCTTTATATTTGTGACACACTCCTTTGCAGAGTTTTCCCCAGATCTTCTGGCACAGTCAGCAGCTTTGCACTCCATCCTCTCTGGATCTCTTGAAATCTGCACATATTTTGAGGAATTTGCTTGAGACCCATCTTGGTGGAAGCCATTCAGGTGCCATGCCATATTTTATAAATTTTTGTCAGCATTCTGGGGTTTCCCTCCCTTCTGGCTACAGCCCCAGGATCCCTCCTGAGAGACCTAGACTACACAGGAACCAGCTCTCCTTGGCGTCGGTGGATGCTTGCGCCCTCCCACCCCTGGCCCTGCCCCAACTCCACCTCCTCCCTGCCCCTATTGGACCCCTCCCCAAATGCCCACCCCAGCCCCACCTCTTCCCCAAGCATACCACTTTCCTCCTCTTTCCCCGTCCCTCCCAGTGCTCGCCACGCGAAACAGCTGTTTCATGGCGCAAGAGCTGGGAGGGAGGGGAAAGAAGCAGGATGTGGCGGGGCACTCAGGGGAGGGAGAGGAGGTGGATGTGGGCTGGGACAGGTCAGGGAACTGCTGGTCGGTGCAGAGCACCCACCAATTTTTCCCCGTGGGTGCTCCAGCCCCAGAGCACTCATGGAGTCGACACCTATGTTAGGCTATATTAAATTATCCTTGACTTCCCAATGTGTTGGTAAGGGGTTCATGTAATAGGACCTGGTAGGGTCTGCTGAATATTCCCCAACATATACACATCCCAAACTCAGCCTGGAGCAATCCACATAGTACTGTGAGCTGGAAGATGATGATGTGAAGGTGAGCAACCCCTCTCTTTTCTGTGTTGAAATAAGAAGATCCATGCAATTCACAGAATATCTCTTCTGTGCGTGCATCCTCATAGTGTGACCTAACCCACATAATTCAATATGTTTATTCTTCTTCAGCTCTGCAACAAAAACCCTGGTGGAATCAGGGGAGAGTTTTGAAATTCAAATGCTTCTGTTATTATTCATAGAATCATAGAATCATAGAATCATAGAATATAAGGGTTGGAAGGGACCCCAGAAGGTCATCTAGTCCAACCCCCTGCTCAAAGCAGGACCAATTCCCAGTTATTGTTGGTTTAATTTTATAGAATTGCTTTTGGTATGGAAAGCTGCAAAAATTAAATCAACTAAGAGATGTAGGGTCATTTTTTATTCAAATTTTAATCATATACCAGAAAAAATATTCTGCTTCTGACGTAACCATGTTACCAAGTAGGATACATGCAACATGCAGGAGTGGTTGCTTTAAATAGTTATTTTATTGATAATATTATGCAAACACTTTTGAATAGGCCCCAATTCAATAAGGTAGTAAAGCACGTGGCTAATGTTAAGCATTTGCGCTTTCAAAGAGGTTACCCATGCACTTAAAGTTAGACATTTGCTTCATTACGTTGAGTTAGAGCCTTATTTTCTATTTTACTATTAGAAATTTTTAGAACAGTTTGGGACTGCACAGCTCATAAGATTGCTGCAGTGGTTGGACATAAAGCTGCTTATTTACTGCTTCATTCAGCATTCTGACGGTTTCTCTTCCAGTTCTTTTCCAGATTAGATAGTAGCCATAGAATGAGTTGAGGAATAAGATGATCACAGTGGACTGGGACTCAGATGAGTGACTGAGTCTGTGAAAGATAGGGGAAAGCGTACAGATTTGTTGCATGTCTGATTTTATAGTAAATAAACTGTTTTCAAATGGTTACAGTCCAAGCTTTAAAAACTTCTATTCTAAAAGTAGGAGTAATAAACGTGTATGTGTAAATAAATAAATAAATAAAAATACGCACACCAGAGAAAACAGAATTCTGTAAATTCTGTAAAGCTGTCAACATAAGCCCAAAAGAGAAAAACCTTCAGGTACATAAAGATGCTAATACAGCCTTCAGAGATTTCTCTCATTTTGGATTCTGCTTAGTAAGAGCCTGTGGTCCACATGGCAAATACCCACACACTTAATAGGATATTCTGTTCCTCTACAAAAAGAACAGGAGTACTTGTGGCACCTTAGAGACTAACCAATTTATTTGAGCATGAGCTTTCGTGAGCTACAGCTCACTTCATCGGATGTATACCGTGGAAACTGCACATCCACCAATGTGATATATGCCATCATGTGCCAGCAATGCCCCTCTGCCATGTACATTGGTCAAACTGGACAGTCTCTACGTAAAAGAATAAATGGACACAAATCAGATGTCAAGAATTATAACATTCATGGCTGCAGTTTCCACGGTATACATCTGATGAAGTGAGCTGTAGCTCACGAAAGCTCATGCTGAAATAAATTGGTTAGTCTCTAAGGTGCCACAAGTACTCCTTTTCTTTTTGCGAATACAGACTAACACGGCTGTTCCTCTGAAACCTGTTCCTCTACATGCACTAGAGATATGATCAGTCAGGAGAAAAAAGAGCCATATCTGCTCTCAAGGTAAAGGTATAAAATTATGCATTGCCTATTGTAAACTCTGACAATGAAGTGTTGCTTAATTTTTACTGGTCACTATGTGGGTCTTTAAAAGGTAGGAAAAGACCAGTTTTGTAAACAGAGCACTGTATCCATGGCAAAGTTCAATTACACTTTTAACTTATCTACTGTGATGGTACAAAAAACTCATACTGGGCAACATAGAGTTAATGATTGACTGTGTGTTCAGGTGGTTCTCATCTGCTGCACCTGTGGGAAATATCAGACTAGGAGAGAGAAAATAGAGGAACCCAGCTCAGTTGGTGTCAGACCAGCAACAAGAACAGATCTCCTGTCCTTAGCTCCTGGAGCAAGGCCTGGCTAAAGACACGGGCTCAGCTGACTGCTCCCTGATGACCTGTTGTGGATCCACTTATGATGGGACTATTCTTTTGACACTAGCCAGTTAGCCCAGTTGGGGCCTCCAGTTTTACAGAAGCCCTTTAAATATGATGCCCAATCCATGGGAAATTACATTTCTAACTACTTCATTTGTGTATATTGACAAACAAAGGTGGACTATCCGGGGTCCACATGGAAGGCTGAAACCTGTTAAAATTGGACTGAAGCATCCAGACACCACAAAGCAGATGTGTGGGTGAGTCCTGGGGCCTGGCATGGGAACTCTGGTGCCAATATGGTGATGAATGCAGGCAACCTTCCCACCCTGGAGAAGGAGAAGACTGACTAACCCAGATGATCAAACACTCTTGATCGAAGGCTGTGGCACTCTGGACCTAAGGGACAGTGACAATATATATCTAGAGCACCTAATGAAGTACATGACTGAGAACCAGCAGCATGAACAGGGAGCCCCGCAGTGTTTGCAACTCCTGCAGCAAATGGCTGCCCAATAGCAAGACCTGGTTCAGGATTTAGGGGTGCGGTAGCAGAAACAGCAGCAAATGTTGGTCCAAAAGGTAATGGCCTTATTGCAGCCTCAAGGATCCCTCAGTGTTTCCCTCCTGGAGTTGTAGGCCCTGTCTGAGACATGTGACTATGCCAGTGAAACTCACACAAATGACCCCCAAGGATGACCAGAGGCTTTCCTGGTAATGTTCAAGTGAGTGATGATGACAGCCCAATGGCCACCTAAGCAATGGAACATCCTATTACCACCTTACCTGACTGGATCAGCACAGGCTGTGTCCCCCTCATTGAAAGTTGTGGCTTCCCAAATCTTCCACAGACAAAAGTGACTACACTCAACTAGCTTGACATCATTGAGGTGACTTTCTGACAGAAGTTCCATGAAGAAAAATATCCCTGTCCACGAAGTGGCCCAGAAATTGACAGACCTGTGTTGGAAGTGGTTTAACCTTGACATTGGGACTGGAGTTGGGGCAAATTAGCTCATGTGGAGGAGCAGTTTGCCCTCATACCCCAGCTGGGGGTAGGAACTAGTTTCTCAAACACTGACCTGAGGCCAATGAGGCCACTCTATTCAAAGGAGAACCTAGCCAGGAGAATCGGCGGTCTGAGAGCCTGGTGTTGGACATGCCAGTCTCCAAGGAGTCAGCATATCACAATACCTAGGACTGGCCTTCTTTGGTAAACCCCGGCACTCTAGACTGAAGCCCAGACAAGGGCCATTGGGACTGCAACAATCTCCTCTGCAGGGAATCCAGGGGTCAGAGAAGATGACCCCCTGCCCATCCACTGGTTCTCTCTGTTCTAACTCTTGCTGCATGAGAGCTCGTTTGTTGCTCCTTAATCCCCTCAGCCAGAGCTGGGGCCCCAAACATCCTCTTCCTCTGACCATGATTCAATAAAGTCCAATATAGATACGGGAGAATGTTGGCCTGGAACAGATTGCCCAACTAAGACACCTTCTGAACACCTTCCTGATGGTGCTCTGGCCCAGACAAACACACCTTATTCAACATCATGTCCAAGGAGAGCAAAGAAAACACATCTGAAAGAATCCTCTGCCACATCCCCAAAAATGTGGGTTGCTGTTATAAAAAGGACTTCTGCACCATGCTGGAGCAAGGAGTCATTGAAAAGTACAACAATGACTGGTGAATGTTATTGTATTTGTCCCTAAACCAGGTGGCACTACGTGGTTCTGTATACACTTTGGAAAAGTTAATTCTGTCTCCCAAATTTGATGGCTACCCCATGCCCTGGGTGGACAAATTGCTAACCCAGCTGGATGAGGCCCACTCTATCACAATATTAGATCTAACCAAGCGATTTTGGCAGATTCAGCTTATGCCAGAATCATATGAGAAAACTGCTTCTGCCACCTTGTAGTGTCTTTGTGATATTAAGATTACCTCCTTTGGCCTCCATGGTGACCCAGTGATGCTCCAACAGCTCACGTACCAAGTCCTCCAACCAATGGTTCATATGCTGCAGCTTATTTAGACCAATGTGGTTATGTGTAACCAAGCCTGGGAAACCCACTTTGAACAGATCACCTCCATCCTCCTGTCCCGATGGGAGGCTGGCCTAACTGCAAATCCAGTGAAATGTAAAGTCAGAAAAAGTTGAGACCTGGGCTATACTGAAGGAAAAGGCCAGGTCGGGCCTGACGTAGACAAAGTCTAAGCCTTGAAAGACCACCCAACCCCAACCCCCAAAACAGCAACAACATCCCAGATCGAGAGGTTTTTAGGGCTCAACAGTTATTACAGCCAAACTCTGCCAATGTTATCTATGGTAGCTGCACCCCTCACAGACCTGATTAAGGACAGCAGTCCCGGGAAAGTTTGATGGTCTGAGGTCTGTGAAAGAGCTTTTCAGGCACTCTGAAAGACCTCCTGTGTAAAGACTCTGTCCTATTCAACCCAAACTTTTTGAAATAATTCATTTTGCAAACTGACATCTTGGAAGTGGGACTAGGGACTGTGTTATCCCAGAAAATATATTGAAAATAGTGGAAGTTAGGAGCCTAAAAATCTTTGAGAATCTAGGTCTAAATGGCGGGAAATGACCTCTCCCCATCAGTCATTACTTCATCATAAATTAATAATTTTATTATTCAAATATTTCCCTTAGATCTCTGCAGTATGTGCTTAGCTACTGGGTCTAAATAATCTTAAAAACAATATCATCAGCACGCATGCATTACTTCCTGTTGCTGCTCCCACTGTAATCCTTTGTACTATACATCAATCAATCAATCCGATTAGCTGTGCCAAATTTTTCTAAGCAAGAAGAAATAAACGCGAAAATAAGGACAGAGCTGTCTGGTGCAGCTTTGCAGATCAAATGATTTTGAAATCATTCCATTCATGATGAGTGCAGCCTTAGGCAATTTTTTTTAAAAAAGGTGTCCTTGAAGCTAAATTTTGCTCACGCTTTGAAGAAATATATTCCATTTGGCTTAATGTCCTTTTTTTCTGAAGCAAGTGAAATAGTTACTGATGAGCTACAGATCTTCAATTTGTTAGCAATGCTTATTCAATTAAAAGTTTAGATCTGGAATAATAATTTTACATGAAAATGCCTGCAGCCCAACAGCCAAAACTTCTGCTATGATCTTGCAATCATAGTTGATTAGCCATAATTGGCCTATAACTTTAGCAACAAAAGAGATCGTTCTCTGAATCATAGAGATACTAAACAATTTGCATAAAGATGGAAAAATGTTCATGAACCTAATGAATAATTTTAATAAAGCCAACTTAGTTTTTCCTAATATTGTAAATTTGTTGTGTTTTTATTTTCCATATTTTCCCCTCTGAATACAAAGTATTTTTTTCCTTGTGTGAGTAATAAGAAGTCAATTATATCACAGAGCAGTAAAATGGGAAGTCTGAACCAAAGGCATGTAAATGGTGAATGTGTGTTTTAAACAATGTGATTTATCCATGTGCATGGCAGCATGAAGGTGAGCCAAATATAGCTAAGGTCTTCTGAGCAAAATGAGGCTCTTAAGGGTATGTCTACACTGCAATAAAAGCCTGTGGGGCACCAAGTCACAGAGCCCAGGTCAACTGACTTGGGCTCATGGGGCTTGGACTGTGGGCTAAAAATTGATTTGTAGACATTCAGGCTTGGGCTAGAGCCCTTGCTCTGATACCCACTCTCCTCACCCAAACATCTGCACTTCAATGTTTAGCCCTGCAGCACAAGCCCCATAAACCTGAGTCAGCTGAGTCCGGGCCATTACACGGGTCTTTTATTGCAATGTATCCATAAGACCGGTACTGGGTCTAGAGCAAGATAATAAGTTCAGAAGAACGACTGACTTGTAGTGTAAACTCAAAAACCAAAATAAAATGTTCTCATCAAAACTGAACTGCAGAAAAACTTGGAAGGATGAGAATGACTGTAAATGAGTGCTCTGTCCCGAGCTTCACTGCTCCCTATTCTATAGTTCAATCTATGTCACCATTCTTAAAAGCTTAGCCACAGAAGTTATTTCAGTTCTGTGTGGACCTGTATGTTGGAAACAGATATTGCCTGACCTATAAGACATATTTCTTTGCTTTTCCATTGAGTACATTTTGTACATTTTTGTTGGTTCCTGTTCCTGAAAGATTGACAGGGCTGGAGAATGAAATCCTCTGTTGTCCCCATACATGCATAACACATGCCGTTACAGTGAAATTTTTCCCACACTCCCTCAGCAATGTGCTGAAAGTCCAATGTGAAAAACTATAACTATCTGTAGCAGGCTAGCTTTGTCTGAATGCCTATTCATTACTCTGCTTCTTTGCTGAGCCTGTCAAGAAGAGCGTCATTTGTGTTGGTGGAATTATTTTGTGGATACTTTTTTACACGGAATTGGACTTAGACAAGCAATATGTAAGCCATCAAATGCTAATGTCTTTCAGCTGTAACTGGCCTGAAATGGGTTTGAACCAGAGCCCTAAAGCTGAAACATACTATACTAATCCTGATTAATCATTTTCCCTTTCCTTTTCAACCTTAAAAATTGTGAGTACTTTTCGTCTGAACACCAAATAGCTTCTTTCTATGTAGAATCTTGAAATCTCAGAGTTGAATTCCTGAACTGGGAATTTAGACTGTAATATTTGGGCCATGTGAACACTGATTAATAAGGGGCTTAAATTTAAACTCTCTGTGTGTGTGTGTGTGTTTGTGTGTGTGTGTGTGTGTATAATCCCCAAAAAACTGTGTATATAGCAGATGCACATTTTGGCTCAGATTCTTGGCCCCTGCTAAGGAGAGCACTATACAGCTTAGGAGGTAAAGTGTAAAGGTGGCCTTTGTGTTCTGATCTGTACCAGGCCAGTCACCACCCAGCATAACTTAGAGCAGCATGAAGGTTGCAATACTGCAAGTAGGAATTGCAAGGATAGACAGAACTTGCTCATGCTCTCTTTCCCCGAACCACGCATCAGGGATGGGGTGGAGGGATGTTGTCACACTAGCTCTATATACTACCGAGCTTACTATGCCCTCATACTTAGATAAAGCTCTTGTGACTGGCTCGACTTGCTTTCGGGCCAGAATCCACCAGTCGTCCAAACCTAAGTGGCCACATTACCCTCAACAATCTTGGCGGGAAGCGGTGTGGGCTGAGGAATGTTCTGGCAGCCCTTCCTGCAGCCCCCATTGGCCTGGAGCAGTGAACTGCAGTCAGTGGGAGCCACGATAGGCCGAACCTATGGACGTGGCAGGTAAACAAACTGGCCTGGCCCACCAGGGGTTTTCCCTGAACCAGTGGAGGACCTAGTTTGAGAAGCACCACTGTACAGTAACTCAATGAAAAACTTATTTTATATATATGTAAAACCACTGTAGGACTACTTTCTCCCCCTGATTGTTATTCTTCTGCTATTAGAATAAATGTTATTGTTGTGGAAACAAAGCATTTATTTCAGCAGTAGGCATTGACTGTACTATTGATCAAGAAAGCTATTACTAGACAAGTTCTTCTCAGTAGGGATTGCATTCCCATGCAATAGCAAAGCAAGAGTAAGTTGGCTGGTGATATTAAAACTGTGCTATCCTCCAGCTGAAAATGACTTCTGAGGTGTACTCACAGCTGATTAACATCACTTCTGCCTCCCAGTTGTGGGTTGAAAATCTTTGGGAGTTTTCAGAAGAAGGGAGGAGAGGAGGTTTGGGATTCACTATGGAAGAGTCCCATCTCACTTTGACTTAACCCATAATGTCTCTCACATTCATTGACTTCCCATATTAGCAATCTTTAGCCTTCCACTGAAACATCAGCAAACAACCTAATTATAAATTGTTTTTTGTGAAGCATGTGGAAGATGCCTGTAATATTTTATAAATACAATATGTACGGTTATGTGAGTACCAAGGGTTAAATTTCAACAAGAACTGTCTTGCAGGCAGGGAGACAATAAAGTACTATTCACCATACTTAATGGGACAATATAGGTGTGAGTCCCTTTGAAGTTGAACTCAGCAGAGGTAAATACCCTGGGCTTGGTCTAGGGGAGAAAAATGGACAAAAATGATATGCAACTATCTACAAATACTAAAGAAGCGATGGAAGGGAAGGAATTATTGACCTGGACATGCAGGGGAATGAAAGAGACACAGGGATGGATTTAACAGCAAAAGACAGCAACTTTATTAACTTTAACAGGGGGTGGCCAGCACTCCTTCACTAAATACCAGGCATTAATTTGGGTCCTATGCAGTGTTAAATGGCCTCCATGCCAAATAACCAGCATTCAGAGTTGGTTCTTCTCACCTATATCCTAAGATTCATCGAGCGGGGAATGAGAGAAGACTTTAAGCATCCCTCAGTCTTCAAAGATTTACCCCTAGGTTAATAAGGACCCTGAGTAATCTCCTGAGATTCAGGTTTACCTTTGAGAGCTGGTCCCTTTGAGCCTGTCAGGCATACTAAATATTGACTAAAAGTTATGACAATATTACAAACTCACTTATCAATGTACAGCTTTTAATTTCCATCCTTTCCCCTTACTTACCTTAAGCCAGGGCCCCCGCTTGCTGCAAGGAAGGCAAAGAGCCCACCGAACCCTTCTGAATCATGCCCCTTGGGAACAATTCCTTTCTGATTAGGGTGACCATACTTTCTGTTTTGGCCAGGACAGTCATCTTTTTAAGCCCTGTCCTGGATATCCCAACTTTTTTTTGGCATTTGTTCCATTTGCTCTTGTTTGATCATCGGTTGGCAAGAGCAACCAGGAGAAATGTCCAGTTTTGCAAAAGAAAATGAAGTGTGCCCCCTAACAGGGCACAGAGGAACATTTGGGGGGCAGCAGTGATGCCAGCCCTGCCCACTTACATTCTGGGACATGTGTCAACCCTATTTCTAATTTAAAAAACTGATGATTGATCATCTCCACAGCATACAGTGTATATCTGCATTGTCAGGTGGGGGAGCAACTGCAGCAGAATGGCAGCTTCATGTCCTGAGGTCTTCATATAAAAGAAGAGGAGCAGCATAAGAGACAATCAAGTCTCCCTTCTCCTCACAGCACAGCCAACGGCAAAGGGAGAAGTGGAGAAATCTCTTTCCATCTCTTCCCTGAGGAACAGTCTTCGAGTGAGTTCTGAAGAAAAGGAAGCTAACTTGAG